AAAGCAGGACATTTAGGTCCATGTTTTGAATTGTACTGATTATAAATTAATCCATAGCTATAGCCATTTGTAACTGCAATAAGCGTAATAGTCTCATGGCCTTTAATAACAGACCACACACCAAGATTTATTGTAACTGACGTGCTTGGTACTTGAAATAAAATACGTGGTGAAACTAAAACAGGAAGAGAGCAAAAATTACAAGTTGTGACAAAGGAAAATCAGAATAAAGAAATAAAAAGCCTGCAAAAACAAGGACTGTGAAGTACACTGACTTACATTGTTTCGGACAGAGAAAACTGCTGTGCAGTGAATTGCGGATAACACGAAGAGACTGGCAAAAACTAATCAGAACTGCACTAACCGTGGACCAAAATCAACTGAGACCAAACTATACTGCAAAACTATCATAGAATATGCAGAAAATAAAACTATAGAAACTTAGAAAGGTGCTAACGATGATGAAACAGCAAAGAAACGCTAACGAGGGCGGCGAAAACTGACAGAAAGGAATAAAAACTTAATTGTGCAAATAAACCAAATGAAAGGACGAAAAGAGCTATAAACTAATTGCGCAGAAAACAAATAATAGAAAAAAATGTTACACTTGCATGTTCCACATTAATTATTGATGACTGATACTTAATACAAACACAAGAGACAGTATGGAAAAAGGAAGGACTATGTTTAATACATGTATTGTACATTGCATTCTAAGGGTTCCAAGCTAATCAGTCATTTTGGCCAATTGCAAAAAAAAGTTTGTTTCATGCAAAACACTATATTAAGAAATAACATGGGGATAAAGGTACTTCCCTTTATGAACATGAACAGCAACAATGTCAATGTTTCAGTGCAAAAGTTTGGAGATGGACTTTTCAATAAGAATAGGCCACTTACACTAAGAGGTAACGTGACTAATGCTTCCTTTGAACAATGAGTTGGAATCTTGCCGATGCCAAAATTGACAGAGCACATAATTCTGGTCATGTGACCAGCCACGAACTTACTCATTAAGGAAATGGTGCAGGTTGAAAAACCTAATTACTTTTATTTTGTTGAAGCTATGACCCACTAATTGTTTTCTTGAGGCAAAATCATATAACTTTCATTTTCATCTAAAAGATGTCACGTGACTTCTTAGTGCAAATGGCCTAGCTATTGGAGGATAATTAGCTTCCAAACAAAAAGCCCTAAAAGATTGTTTAGTTTCTGAGTTCTTATGGATAGCCTGTATCGCATGTCAAGTTAAACGTTAACTCTAAACCTTGAAGGGCTAACTTTATGGGCAGGAACAAATACCTCTTCAAAGCATAAAATGTAATAACAATGGCAATTGCCAAGTATCAGTGGCAAAATACCATGAACAATAACTATAACGTTCTATCACCAATGAGATATGCTTGAAATACTTTTTCATATGCTTAAAATGTTACAGTGGCAAATGCCAAGTATCAGTCAATAAATATGTCTCTAAAAAAGTTAGGAAATACTCCTTTCAAAACACAACATCACTTTAAAAGACCTTGGATTAGCTGTTAAGACTAATCACACACAGTTAAACGATTTCCTTGCAGAACTAGCAATGACTGCTTTCAGCGATGAACTGAAAGCTTCTTCGCTTTCAAAGTGATTTGGAAGAGTTAATGAAAGCAAACACGTGGAAGCAAAAATGGAAGGAGTGTTGTCAAATTTAATCTTGATTTTAGCAAGCCCAAAGGTGGGCAGAGAGGTGGACCCAGTGGCAAAAAAGACAAAATTTTCCAACATTTCAACTTCTGCATTATGCAGGAACTGTTTAAGGTAATTCGCTACAATTCTGTCATTTTCACACATCTCAGCTGGAAACTCTAGCATATCAACCAGCTGAGTTGAAGTTAACCTACTCTTATTGCTTGGCACAAAAAGCTCCTCAAACATCTCAGGGTACTCTCTCATTTTGGCACGAAAGCCAAGTACAGCCAATCCCTCTCCCAGCTGATCTAAGACGATTTTGGGTCGGCTTATGACATCATGAATTATCATCCCTTGGATAACCCTCATTTTGTTGTCATTCTATGAACAGAAAATACAATTTGAAAAATGCTTTTACAGTTCTGTCACAAAGCGGTTTTTTAATAGAAGGAATCAATTAAGATAAGATTAGGCTTACAGTTAATACCACTGCCAGGCCACAATCCGACAAGAAATTTGCACATTCTTCTTGGTCAAGTGTTGAGACATCTTTGGCCTGAGCAACCTGTAAGTTGATAAAAACTATGGGTCAATCCTTGCATTTCTGTTAGGACATGCATGTCAATCTGTTGAACATACATCTGTGCACTTATGGTCCTGTGGGACTCAGGTTGGTGCATGTAGATTATGATACATGAATATAGCCGCTACGATGTCAAGCACATTCGTTCTATTTATGTGCTATACCTCAGTAGAAGCTGTTGACACATCAGTAGTTGGATCAGAAATTATTTGGAATTTTGTTAATGTAAGAGAATCAATCTGG